AGCAAAAGCAAAAGTCGGTAGGAAGTCCAAAATGAAAAAGAGAATTGTTCGTCGGATCTTTCGACTTGCCTGTGTGAAAGGCATGTCATGTAGAGCTATTGCAATTGCAGTAGAAAGTTTTGTCCACAAGACTACGGTTCACAAGATCCTCAAGATGTCAAAGTTTGCGAAGTACATCAAAGGAAAGCCAACTCCGCACCTCAAGAAGCATCATAAGGTTGCCCGCATGCGTTTTGCGAAGTCACATCTCAATAACCACGACTATTGGCATCGCGTCGTCTATACAGACGAAAAGAAATTCAATTTGGACCGCGCTGACGGCTGCCAGTATTACTGGCATGATCTGTGGAAGGATCCCGAAACATAATCGAAGTGCGTTATGGGCGGCGGTTCCGTGATGATTTGGGCCGGAATATGTGCGAGCGGGAAGATTGACCTGGCCATCTTGAGAAGGCAAGCAGAACTCCGAGAAGTACTGCCAAACACTTCGTGAATTTCTGCTCCCGTTCATGCAAGAGCTGCTAGAGAAGCATGGCGTCGTGGACCCAATTTTCCAGCAGGACAATGCTAGTATACACTCATCTCGCTACACTACTGAGTACCTCGAGCTCGAGAACGTCAACACCATCGAATGGCCTGCCAAAATCCCCGAATTGAACATCATCGAGAATGTCTGGGGTGTTCTGGCGCGGTCTGTGTACCGAAATGGCAGACAATTTGCTACAAAGGCCGATTTGTAGCGTCAAATTACCATTTCATGGGAAGAAGTGCGTTTGGACTACCTCAAATTTTTGGTAAATGACATGCCTACAAGAATGGCTGAAGACATCATCCGTGCAGGGGCAGGAATTGATAGATAAATGTCGAAAATTCAGTGCGTCTATAATTTATGGACACCGCCATATTTCAAAAGTCAAGTTTTTGATTTTGTCAATTCGATTTTGGTTGCAGGTCATGTGGCTATCACGGTTTTGTTTCGTTTAACATGCGCTGTCAAAAGGGCTTAGAATAATTCACTCTTTAATAACTCGAATCTGCCCAATTTCACCTGCGTCTATTGTTTCCGGACTGACTGTATGTTTCGTTTAAATGGTACAACTCGAGTTGAGACACTGAAGGATTCGATACTGCGAATGAACCCATGCATGATCCCCGAATATCCTGAAGTTGGGGCGTAGAGCTTGGCAAATTGAAAAAAGGTTTGCGAACTTGGTGGCGCAGTGCCATTGGCTGTATTGAGTTCCGTATCAAAACTAACCATTTTTGTTCAACTTTCCATCCAATTTTTTAAATACATCTATTAGATATTGTTTTTATAATACATCCGTTTCTATTCATATTTTACCATGATCAATTACTTCCTCTGTTTGGTATTACTGCCACAATTTGAAAAAACCAAATAATTTATATTGCTGCCACCATTTTCATGTACTGATTTCCCTCGCTAAGTCAAACGGTTCATTTTATGCAATAATCGCAATACATCCAAATATAGAGGTATAAATTGTCGCACAAACTTTGAAAACCAATCAATTCAAATTCATTACAGACACGTTTGATGTGAACATGGACAAGTCATTGTCCAAAATGCCAGTGCGATTCCAGTAGTTGACAACGCTTGCTTTCGTGCGTGTTCCTCTTCAACGCAAGCCCAATGGTAGATTTAGTTGGGACCCGAGCGATTAAATGATTCCTTCGCCCATAAAGCGAGCTCAGAATACTTTTTTGTTGGATGCTGCATGTGATGTTCATACAGCTCATGTCTTTCATGAGGTGCCATGCACTCCTTCATCGCTGAAAATTAAAAATTTCTCGAGCTCTTTGCTCCAAAGTAATCAGCCCAGTTTCAAATTCAAATTGCCTTTCCAACTTTATACATTGACTTTCAGAGATTATTCACTTTGTGCCGTTCGACTTAGCGAGGGAAATCAGTAATTGGACAAGTAAGAAACGAATGCATTTCATTGGTTAAAATTGTCACTGGGATGTCAACTGTTGGAGGGCTGTTCGCCTCAAAGAGAAGCGACACTAGAACGGTCAAATTCACAGCAAGAGTTCCAGCACGTCTCATCCCGTCCTTCTTCAAATGGGGCAGCTTAAAGTGATTGTCTCCTGCATGCTCAGGAATAGGCGCATGACTGCCTGCAATGTACGTAAGGAAGAGATCCTCCAACTTCTCTCCACTGAGCATGTCAAACACCATCAATGTTGAAGAAATGACGTCATCGACAGTGCGACTAACCATTTTGTGCTGTAGGCTTTGGATCGAAGCGAAGAATCCAAGGTCAAGTACGTTCAAGTCGGGACTGTTCGGCGGCTGGCGACGAACCACAAACGTCCACCCATCCGTCGAAACCCCAGCGAGCGCATCGTCGTCTACGGAACGGTGAGGTGTTGCGTTGTCGTGTTGGAGCACGACACGCTTTGAGACACAGGGAAGGCTCGCCTTGATCGCAGGTACGACTTTGTTGAGGACGTAATCACGGTACGTCGTAGCGTCAACATTGATAAGAGTGGTTATTACCATGGAACCAGCGGGTCGATTGCGTGAACTCCGGCGAGCACGGGATTGAGAGACAAAGGGCCACAGACCAATCTTCTCGTCAACGCCGATGTCCATTTGCGGCCGAGCAACAGCACACAGGAACATGACCTTGGTGATAAACCCCTTGGACTTGCACGCTCGACGCGGGACCTCTTCGCCTTCCAAGAGGTACTCCTTGCGACAATCTTTGTCCGCATTGAACCACTTTTCGTCCAGAAGAACCACGTCCCACATGCCCGAAAATTTGGATTCTTGTAGTGTGCCGGCGAAGCCGGAGCTTCACGGGTCTTCTTGGGGTACACCGCGGAAAGCGTTGATGGCATCGTGGGTCAGGACAACATGAGCACCGCAGAAGGCTAGGCGTTCGTGCTTGTTTGCGTTGGTGAGAAGCGGTTTCAATCGAGATGAGCGACTCTGAAAGACACCATTCTTGAGAGTGCGGCTGAGTGTGAACGTTGACATGCCAGTTGCTTTTGAGAGCTCTCTGATAGTGTTGCGCTGGTTTTGTGGAACGGCTCAAATCAGTGCCGCGCGGTAGTTTGCCCTTGGATAGACAGTCTTGTAGCGCAGTGGCAACTTCACGCTTCTAGACGTCTCTCAGTTCACGGTTCTGGCGGTGGGATGTGCTCATGGCGGGAAATTTGAATGTGTTCTCATACCCCGAAGTTTTATTTCTTTTATTTTATTTCATCTGGTGCTAAGGCGACGTCGATTTTGGCCATCAATTTGTCCTTACTATGATTGGTTGCCGATTGACGATCTCTCTAGTTTTTTATGCACTTTCTCTTGTGAT